ATTTTCTTATCCAGTCCTCCGTGGATGGACATTTGGATTGCTTTCACAATTTAGCAATTACAAATTGTGCTGCTATCTCAACAGATTTTTTAAAAGGGTGCATCAATTTTCCCTGCTGCTGATATCAGCGAGAACCATTTCATCATTGTTGTCTTGCTTGAGAGTCAGGATAAGGGACCAGGAGAAACACATCCCACCACTGATGCCTGAGCTCTGCATTCTGTAGAATACCCTAGTCCTGGCCTGTACAATAGTTTTTTGTTGCTCTGTGTCTTACAGACAGAGCAGTTGATAACCCTGTGGGTGCTCTTTGTTTTCACCATGGTTGGAAACTCCGTCGTGCTGTTCTCCACATGGAAGAGGAAAAAGAAGTCCAGGATGACCTTTTTTGTGACCCAGCTTGCCATCACAGGTAAGTAATTGTGCAGACGGGAAAGGAGAAAGTTAAGTGCAAAACCCTTTGGCTGTTGCTTTCAGTTGTTCTTTAAAAAAAAAAAAGAAAAAAAAAAAAAAGAAAACAACAATTAAAGCAATGATACAGAATTTCAAAAACTATAATGGGAGATTAACAATTGCTCATATATTGCACATTGTGCTTTCAATTATTCTACCAATGGAATATTCCAAAGGCATCAGCAAATTTAGGAGTAATTTCTGAAAGGATATGAAACCTATATTTCAATCCTTCCACCAGCAAATTGAACACATTTAGATGTCCATAAGTTCCCATTATAAACAACTCACTATACTACAGACTTGGAAATGCCATTATCAGTGTAGCCAAAGGTTTCTGTAGGGTCTCACTCTCCCTGTACACAGCAGCCTCTCTCCTCCCTACTTCAGTCAGGTGGCATTACCGTATCACCCCGTGTTAGTAGCCTAAGAAATGTATCCTAGAAAATGAACCAAAATGGCCTAAATTCAGTAATAAAATGTGAAGTCTCCAGCAGATTACACCCTGTGAATATTGCTTTTGGGGTCCAAAACAGGTGCAGCAGCACTGCTGGAGGAAATGAGTTCACACCCAAGATCTGGATGCTACCCGGGAGTTTGGGGAGAGCAATGCAGTAGAGGGGTGCACACAGCACACCAGGAAGAGGAAGGGGCAAGTGAAGCATGGCCAAGGAAAAGCCCCACAGGAAGAGGCCAGATTGATAGAGCTAGTGCTCAGAAGGGAAAAGAGCACACCCAGGAAAGAGTGCCGTTTCACAGGCCAGGGCAGAGAGTGTGCACAGGGCACACACAGGGGGCTGGGGTACCAGAGTCTGGGAGCAAGTGACTGCCATCTTGGTTTAATTTTGATCGGACTCTGTGGAAAAGGCCCCCAAACAGGATAACCGTAAGTGTTAACAAGGGTGACAGTGGACAACTCTCCAAGGAGCTTTTGGGTACATTTCAGCCTGGGCCATCATCTCTGCTGCAGCAATAACACTGGAGTTCTTGGGAATTTAATCATCAGCTGCAGTCTGAAAACATGACATTGATTTATAAGGGAATTTAGTTATCCATTGGTGAAAACCTGAAATCCCTCTTTCTAACAAAATCTAGCAAGCCCATTTACTTGAGTGGGGCTTTCTGAGCTGTGAAAAACAAAGGCACCTTTGAAATAAAGAAAATAAGAGGAGCCTGAGGCACCAAGGTGAGACATGCAGTGGGGAACAGCTCTTTCCATCTTTCTTACAGACAGGAGCTCCATTTTTCATTCTTACAACAGCAGGAGGGGTACTTAGTTAGCATGATGTGGCAAATACCATAGGGCAAACCCCTGCCTGGGGTTGTCACAGGATCCTTTTCTTTTCTTTCTTTTAATTATTATATTATAACATTCTATGCAACTGTGTATACCTTTCAACTATAAGAATTTAGAGGTGGCAGTATCAAACTAGAATTTAAACTTTTGCCACAAATAATAAATAACTAATTGAAATTTCAGCATCTATTATCAAAGAAAAAAGTTGCATACTACAGTCTATTCTTTTTTATTTTAGAGAGAAAAAAAGCAAAACAACAAAGATAAAAACAAAACAAAAAAGATATAGAATTTCAAAATAAAATAATAGGAAATTAAAAATGGTTGTTATATTACATACTGTTATCTTCAAAGAAGTTGTTCAGATTACCAGATGTAATAATGCAAGATTGGTCAAACATTTAAAGAGAATAAAAAATAATTTAAGGAAACATTAGAAATGATACAGAGTTTAACTAATCGAGATGGTAGGAATTCAACAACGGTTGTTATATTGCACATTGTTGTCTTCAAATTAGTTGTTCAGATTACCAGATATAAGCATGCAAAATTGGTCAAAAGATTTAAACATTAACTGTTCCTTTCAATAAACCAATAGACAAAAGCAGTGCAATTATCTCAGCTATCCTTGTATATCCATATATATTTTTCCCTTCCTTCTTTCTTTCTTTTCTCCTTTCCCTCATCTCAGTTGTTTCTTTCCTTTGCACAATTCCTTTCCCTTTCACTATCTTTATTGTACTTTTCAGGTTTTATTTACTCTTTCAGGTTTTTACACTAGGGATACAATACAGTATTTACACATGTGTGTCTGATTTATTTCACTTATGAGTATAGTCTCTAGTTGCATCCATTTACCTATAAAAGCCTCGAGTTTATCTTTTTATAGCTGAGTAATACTCCACTGTTTAAAATATACATCTTTTTTATCCATTCCTCAGTTGATTGACATTTGGGTTATTTCCAAGATTAAGCTGTGACAAATTGGGCTGCTATAAACAACTCACAGTCTATCAAACAAGGACTTGATTTCTTGTGAATGTTCATGTCTTGATAATTTTTGAGAAATTCAAAGGTTCAGAAGTACTTCAGAGGGAAAATAATTCTCAAAGAGGAAAGCACCATTGGAAGTCTAAGATGGAGTTTTAAGGGTCTAACATTTAAATTCTTATATAAGACATTAAATGTCCTCCATACACATTTCATTATGATTTCAGATCCCTTGGGAAGAGAAGTGAGAATAATTATATATAAGTTAGTCAGACCTCAGCGGAGGCATCATGTTCTTCAAGATATAGAGAAATTTGGTTTGAGCCTTCTACCTTATGCCATGTTCTCCCCAAAGTTTCTCCAAGCTTTCTAGACCTTCTGCTACTCCAACTTCTAAATGTCTTTTATCTTATGCTAAAGAGTTTCATGGTTTTCTAGGTTGTGTGTGTGTGTGTGTTTTGTTTTTCCTCCTCAAAACCATATTTGAGACGTTTTATCTTCAAAAGAACAAATATCCATCTTTTTTAAACAAAAGAAGTTGTGCCCTAAAAAAGAACACTGAAACCAGTTACAGTGATAAACAGGAAAATGTGCATAACCAAAAATAAATTGATCCGATTTACATGAAACTGTAAATTATAGACAGACAGCTCAGTAACATACTATGTGATATGTTTCTAAACATTTGGAACTGGTTTGTTTATGACTAATGAGTGACCTATAAAAGCTAGAACATCGGGACAAAATTTAAAATTTGTTGGAAAGTATCATCATATAGCTACTAACATAGCTAAGATTTGAAGGACCCTGACACTGTTATTCTTTTTTTGTTGTTGTTGTTGTTGTTTTTTGGTTTTTCTCTGGTACTGGGAACAGAATTCACGACCTTGCGCTTGCCAGGCAGGCGCTTTGCCGCTGAGCTAAATCCCCAGCCCCGACACTGTTATTCTTTCAAAACACTGGTTGACTTGGGAGGTTGAAAAGCTGAGTTTGCTTTCTCAAGCATAGAAGCTTCAGGAAAGACCTGAACATTATGATGAGACTGCAGAGGAGTCACCTTAAGAGGAAGACAATTTAAATAGGGCCAGGAGTACAGTTCAGTGGCCAGTGCTTGCCTAGCATAAATCAGAACATGGATTCAATCCCTAATACTAAGAAACAAAAAGAAAAGTTCCCAGAGTGAACTAGAAATAGGTCAGCTCTCTCAAAGACTAATCAAACCCTAAATAGAATCACATGATTTACTGCTGCCTGTAGTTAAGCTACATTTCAGGGCAAAATAAACCTTCTTTAGAGGATGATAACACTGTTAATAGCATCAAATGAACTACACACTTAGTGTACAATGTTCTTCAATTCATATAAATAACCAGATATGCAAAAATCAAAGAACTGGCCCAAAAGATGGAGAAAAATAGACAAGGAAACCAGTTTCACAAGAAATACGCCAATTAAGGTTATCAGACATACAATTTTTAATTAACACTAATCCATTTAAGAAATTTTAAGAAAACCTACTCCCAGTTTTAGTTATTTTAAAAAATATAATTCCTAAATATCCTAATTCTTTCCTTCTATAACTTTCAGTATTTCATCAATGACACTGGAGTTTTTAAAGTAAATAAAGCTAAGAATACAATAGTTGAATTTAGTAGCAAATTGAATATAGCTGAAGAATAAATTATTAAACTGAAGAAGAGGCCAGGAGAAAGTAATCAGACTGAAGCATGGAAGAAGAAAGCATGGAAAGCACAGACAGAAAATCAGAAGTGTATGAGTACACTGGAAGAAAATCTCAATGATGTCAGAGTAAATAGAAACCGAGTTTAAAATACAATGGCCAACAATTTCCCCAAACTCCTGAAGTCTTCAAACATGAATTCATAAAGCACCATAAAATGCACAGTATTAAAACAGTCAAATAAATATAAAGACATGTAAGACACATGTGCATGATGTGATTACAGAAACCCCCCATAAATTTGAATCTGTATCAGGAGTATTAGCTATAATGATGCAAGATATAGCTTATGTTTAACAGTGTTCTTATGTTATATGCTAAAATGTTTACAGGTAAAATGATAACATATCTTGAATTTACTTCAAAGTAATTTGAGGGCAGTGATGAGTAGGAAGGCAAAGGTAGCAAAATTGAAAACTCTTGGAGCTTCGTGGTGAGTATGCTGGATTCTTTAGGTTATTTCTATTATCCTAATTCCACATGTGTTCAAACTTTTCATAACAAAGTTTAAAGCAAATATAATGAGCAATGTAAAAAGACTTAGGGAGTTAAAAACTTTAAAGTTCTTGGATTGTCTGGATGTAGCCAAATTACTAAATTATGTTAGATTTTAATGTCCAGAAAAAATATAAAAATTTTCAGCGTAATCCATACACATTATGAAAAATAAGTTGCAAGCCAAAAGAGATAGAAAATAGAACGCTTTAAATATGTAAAAATACATGAATTCTTTTACACCACATATGCATTATATATCAATGTAAAGGAAGTTAAGAAAGAATAGAAAAAAATAGAATAGAATACTTCTAATATTAGAAGTATTAGCAAAGGCTATAACATTAGGCTATAACATTCAACACCAAATTTATCAGTAATTGCATTGCATAGGGACTAAGTGCTCCAATTAAAATAATAAGATTATAGCAGTACA